CCCTAGGCTAGGAGCCCCCCCCCCCCCCCCCAGAGGATTGTCTCTTGCACAACCTCCATAGCCTGGCAGAGGGAAGGAGCTGAGCTAAGAGTATGCTGGGTCTGAAGTGGGGGCTCTCAATCCCAGGTGGGGTCAGGTCACTTTCAGGCACTGTAGCAGTACCTGAGTCCAGGCTCGGAGAGCTTGGGGAAATCTTGAATCCAGCCTGGCCTTCTTGCTCTTCATGGGTCTTCTGTGGGTCCTGCACTGAGACCTGAGCAGGCCTTTCCTGCTGGAGTTGCCTGTGGAGGAGGGGGCTGAGGTGGGGAGAGGGAGAGCTGCAATCATGATTGTCTTAGATCTAATCCCAAATGACCGTGAGACTGGAATGGATCACTGGCCTCTTGCTCCTTTGGCCATCTTGGAAGACCAGTGGTCTCTCAGCCAAGGTAGGCTCCAGCCCAGGTTCCTCCCCCACCACCCCAGACAGGACATAAAGTGGTAGGTCTGGCAGGGAGAAGGGCACCAACCACAAGCCAGGCTCTCTCCAGGCCTGAAGTCCAGTCATGGCCAGGTCACAGCTGTCTGCAGGATCAGGCCTTGGGATGGAGGGGTTAGTGGCCAGATCTGGGCTGTGTATGGGCAGCTGGTCCAGGGGTGCCCATTCCTGGGGAGGGAAAGGGCTGGTATGGAGACCCTGACCCTGGAATAGTTGGTCCCAAACACTGACATGCCAGTAGTTCTGGCTGCTGGTACACTGTGGAGGAGGTTCTGGGTGGTGGTTCAATGGAAGAAGGGACTCTGGGTATTGATGGTCTACTGTGGGGAGAGAAACAATGGATGATGATCTACTTTGTGGAGGAAGATTGGGATCCTGGCCCACTTTTGAGTCTGGGGAGGTCATACCTTGTACTGGTATCTACGCTCCCGCAGGCCTTTGGTGGGGTTCCCACAGAGGACTTGACCAGTACCTGAAGAAGAGGGCATGGCTATGCCTGGTTTGGGGTCAAGGTATTTTGGGGTCATTTCTGAGTCAAAGCAGGTCAGTTACCATGGGTGAGGTTGCTGGCATGGTCTTCTGTGGCTGGGTTCTCAGAAAGCAAGCCTTCAGACAGAGGGTCCTCAGGGACCAGCAGGGACAGGGCCCATGGCTGGGTCTCAGGCACAAGTAGTGTTGGATCAAGTTTCCATGTGGTTCCGTGAGAACAATCTGCTCCCAGGATAAGAACCAGAGATCACTGGGTTCATGTAGCCAGCAAGCTTTCAAACTCATCACAGAGCACAGCCCCATCACTCAAGAAAGTATGTGGCTTAGGACTGGTCTGTAATGGTTCATTTTCCTTCCAAGAAGGACCCTCAGCCTCAGACCCTCTCTCCTGCAAATGAAAGGGGAAGCCCACTGGTGCTGCTCACAGGGGAGTTTCCTGGCCTGGAGCCAATGTGCATGGTCTAGGAACCAGGAGATAAGGCTTGGGAGGGTCTAAAAGGCCTGAGGAACTGGTGGAGGTATGTCTTCCTGGGATTGATGGAAGCCTGTCCTCCTGGAGGACTGGTGGAGGTCTCTTCTGGAGTGAGGGGCTGGGGCACAATGGTAAGGTCCACAGTGTCTGCCTACCAAGCCCAGGAAGGAGAATGTCCAGTACGCTACCTTCCTTGATGGCCTCCTTCACCAAGAGCCAGTCTTGGTTCAGCTTCTGGGGGACAGGCAGGTTGGTGCACGTGGTGGGTACCTCATCTAGGATGTGAAGCTGGGGGATGAGCTTCCTCACCTCTGCCCTGTAGTTGTAGCCCTTGGGTGCCTGTGGGATAGAGGGAGAAGGACAAGAGATATAGGTCTAGTGGGCCCTATAGGCCAGCTATTTCCTGAGGCTCCCTCCTGACTGCATTTGGGCAGGGCAGAGAAGATAAGGGTTGTGATACTGCACCATCATACTGGACCCTAGGGACTGTAGGGACTGGGCTTTCACCCTTTCAGGATGTGGGCCCTCATCCTCCAGGCCCATGATCAGGGTTCAGGGATGTCCTCTAGCATGTGGAACGAAGCTTGGGGCACAACCAAGCAGCAACTATTGAGGTAGACAGCGAGTTTGGAGCTTGCATGGCCTGTGTGGGTACATGCGAAGTCAGCTGCTGGTAAAGGACTTGTATATGGCTGATAGTTCTAAACAGAGCCAGGCTGTCAGGCCTCAGTGAAAGAAGAGCTAGAGCTCACAGAGAATAAGCCAGGGGCATAAGTGGACACCAAGGTTCCTGGCCTATGGGAACTCCCAACACATACTGACTGGGTGTTCAGCATCCAAACCTTGTTGGAAGGGCCAGGAGCTGGCTTCAGGCACACCAGATTCCCCTCCAGTGTGAGTGTGGCCAACTGTGGGCACAGCTGCAGGTACCGCATCTGTCCCAGGTCTTCCACATTGTTACCTTCAAGGTCCAGCACCTCTAGCTTCTCCAGCAGGCACAGTGGACTCAGGTCCGAAATGTTGTTGTAGGAGACATAAAGTTCCTGAGGACCACATGGGGATCTCAGCTGGAGTCTGACTCTATCTCCCTTCCTTGCCCAAGTACTGCAGACCTACCTTCAGTGCCAGGAAGGAACCAATGCCATCCAGGTCAGTCAGGCCACAGCAAGCCAGCCAGAGCACCTGCAGGTGGCCCAGAGAAGTACCCAGATCTCTGCAGAAGGCAAGGCAGAGTGGTGTGACGGTTAATTGTCAGTCAGTGTCACCTTGACTGAATTTAGAGTCACTTAGGAGAGACATCATGTGTCTGTGGAGGCATTTTCAGAAAGGTTTAGCTGAGGAGAGAAGATCTACCCATGGGCATTTTCCCACGGGCTAGGGTCCTGGACTGAATAAGATAAACCAGGGAAAAGGAGACAGTCACCAGATTGCTGGCACTCCTTCTCTGCTTTCGGATCTGCTCAGATGTGAGCCGGCTTCCACCGCAGCTGTGAGCTTCTCCTACTGCCTGGCCTTCCCTGCTGTGACGGACTGCTTCCCCAGAACCATGAGCCAGATAAACCTCTTCAGGTTGCTTTGTGTTGATATTTAGTTACAGCAACAACAAAAAGTAACTATTAAGTGTTCAGTGCTGTCTCAGGGTGGAGGGCTCTGTCTTTGGCTAACAGAAGCCTATGCCAAGCTAGCACCTGTTGTAGCGGCCTGCAGGTGCAGGGTTGGTTGTGACGTATTTGTAGTTTGCACAGGAAGAAGGGGACTTAGAGGTCCCCTCTGCTCCCCTCCTTTCCTTGCTGCAATCTCCTGAGCACAGTTACAGTGTACCCTTCTCTAGTCCCTGGAAAGCCTGGGTCTGACCCTGAGGAGCTGCCTTCACTCTGGTGGCTTGGCCCAGCCCTACCTGCTGCCTGTGCTGTCCCTCCCTGCCTGGTCTGCTGCAGCCATAGGGCCTCCTCACTGCCCTGCAGTACACCAGAGGCTCTGTCTGGGGACTGAGGACCTGCCTTGCCCTCTCTGGCTGTGACGCACTACCTGTAGCACTTAACTGCTCTCTGCATTCTCATGTAGTTGCCACCTGGTCTCAAGCTTCGTGAACTCCACGGCTTCTCCGTGGCCCTGCATCCCTCTGGTACTGACTCATCCAACACAAAGCTGCTCTGGGGAGCCGGGTTTTCCTGCTGTTGCCATAGGCTGTACATTTGTTTTAGTCTGTCCTTCAGTTGCAAAGATTTAGCATTTATCCTGCCAGTTGCCTTAAATTACTTTCTCTTTTTCTGAGATGGTCTCACTCTGTAGCCCTGGCTGGCCTGGAACTTGAGGTAGTATTTCCTGTTTCAGCCTCTCAAGAGCTGAGATTTCAGGTGTGCACTAGCACACCCAGTCTTAAGTGACTGTTTAATCACCCCTTCCCCTGCTGAACTTTGTGTCTAGTGATTCCTTTCAGAAGGCTCATGGAGATTTCCTTTCTTGGTGCTCACAGGTCCTTGCTGCCCCTGGTTTGGTCATTTGGCTGGGGAGGGTCTTGGCTGTGCTGCCTTCCTACTGACGAGTGCTGCTCCAACCTCTTCTGCCTTTGAATATTTTGGTGAAGTTTGAGAAAAGCTATTTTTTTCCTTAAAAGCAATTGGAACTTTTTTTCTTGCTTTTCCTAGAAGTCCAGAATGTTCTGGTTTCTTCTTTTCTGTTTAAAAGCCTCTTTGATTTCTGATGTTTCCTTTAATTTTTTACATAATTTTCCATGATCTGTTTACTTCTGCAGAGATTCCAAATATGTTCCCTCTACTCTGCTCCCATCTCTGATTCATTCATTTATTTTTCACATTTATTTTATTCAGTGTGTGTGCACGTGCATGTGGCAGTCAGGGGACAGCTTGTTGGAGTTGGTTCTGCCCTTCTGTGATTCATTTTTGTTTTTAGTTTTTGAGACAGGGTCTTATTCTGTAGCCCTGGCTGGCCTGGAACTTGCTATGTAAACTAGGCTGGTTTCACACTCACAGAGATCTGCTTGCTTCTGCCTTCTGAGTGCTGGTTGTGCACCTCCATGCCCAGCCCGCTTTTGTGGTTCTTTTAAACTCCATCATGGAGTCAGCATTGTCTGTTTTCATCACTCCTGTCTTTTGTAGATCATATTGGGTTCCTGAGGTGTTGCCTTCAGTTTTCTCTTCATGGCTGAGATGTTTTTGTTGTTTTGGTCCATTTCTTTTCAGAACTTCCCCACATCTTTGTTCTTACAACATGTGGCTCAGAATAGAGTCACATGTTTAGACAGAGATGCAAGGAAGTCAAGCAACCTTTATTTCTTTTAGTTGGCAACATACCTAGCTGAAAACAGGGATTCCTCTTGTTACATAGGAATAAGTATTAGGAAGTAACTAGGCTTTGCCATTCCTTGGTATAATATGAAATAATAGGAAGACTATTAAATTCTTAGAATGACAAAAAGCAAAGCATATACCATTTGTGGACTCATAACAGACATGAAAAGAAATCTAGATTTTTAAATGGGCTTATCAAAAAGTTTGAATAGCCTGGTGTGGTGGCACACCTGGTACTGTAGTTCCACCTACTCAAGAGGCTGAGACAGGCAACACAGTGTGAGCTCGGGCTACCCTGGGTGACATAGACCTTTTTTTTTGTCTTTGTTTGAAACAGAGTCTCCCTGTAGCCCCAGCTGTTCTGGAATTCACTAGGTAGACCAGGCTGGCCTCAAACTCACAGAGATCCGCCTGCCTGCCTCTGCCTCTTACCATACCTGCTAACCTTATCTCTTAAAAAAAAAAAAAAAAAGCTAGGGATGTATTCCCAGTACTTGAGAAGTAGAGGTAGGAGCAGAAAAATCAGGAACTCAAGACTAGTCATGGCTATATAGTGAGTTTGAGGTCAACATGAGCTACATGAAACCCTGTCTCAAAACAAAACAAAACAAAACAAAACAAAACAAAACAAAAAACCAACAACCAACCAACCAAACAAAAAACCTAGAGGGTTAGAACTTTGAGGCAAGCACTCAGCTCAAAAGGGAAAAATAAAGCTGGGCGTGGTGGTACATACCTTTAATCCCAGCACTCAGGAGGCAGAGGCAGGTGCATTCTGTGAGATTCAGGCCAGCGTGGTCTGCATAGCAAGTTCCAGGCCAGCTGGGGCTACAGGGAAAACCTGTCTTCAAAAAACCAAAAAAAAAAAAAAAAAAAAAAAAAAAAAAAAAAAAACCAGAAGGAAGAAGAAAACAAATAATGATGATGAACTAGTAACAACCAGGTGATCCAGATGAACAGCCCAGAGCTGACTCTCTTGACTGGCAAGACTGATCAAGGATAAAAAGAGATAATTGTGGACTGGAGAGATGGCTCAGCGGTTAAGAACACTGGTTGTTCTTGCAGAAGACCCAGGTTCAAATCCCAGCACCCACATGGCAGCTAACAACTGTCCATAACTCCAGTCCGCAGCACTGACTGCTCTTATAGAGGACCCGGGTTTGATTCCCAGCACTCACATGGCGGCTACAAACTGTCCTTAACTACAGTTCCAGGGGAATCCGAAGCCCTCTTCTGACCTCCGCAGCATTGCATGACATGGGTGCACTCACATACATGCAGGCAATACACTCATACACAAAAAATAAATAAAAATAAATTTTTAAAAAAGAGTGATAATGCAAATATAAGGAATTTGAAAAGAGAAGGCTGGCCACAGCAGCAATTTAAGATGATAAAAGACTATTATGGGTTAGAGAAAGGACTTAGCACTTAGCAGTTAAGAGCACTTACTACTCTTCCAGAGGACCCAGCTTCAGTTCCCAACACTCATCCTTACCTCCAGTTTCAGGGGACCTGATGCCCTTTTCTGGCCTCTGCAACCAGGCACACATGTAGTACACTTACATACATGCAGGCAAAGCACTCATACGCACATAAAAAGAGATAAATCTTTTTAAAAAGGAATGGGTTGGAGAGATGGCTCAGCAGTTAAGGGCACTGGCTGCTCTGGCAGAGGACCTGGGTTTACATCTCAGCACCCACATGGCAGTGAAGTAACTCTAGTTCCAGGGGATACGACACCCTCTTCTGTCCTCCATGGGTACTGCATGACACAGGTGCACTTATATACATGCAGGCATCACACTTGAACACATAAAAAATTATTGAGCCGGGTATGGTGGTGCACACCTATAGTTCCAGCACTTGGGAGGCAGAGGCAGGCAGATCTCTGTGAGTTCAAGGCCAGCCTGGTCTACATAGTGAGTTCCAGGCCAGCTGGGGCTACAAGGGAGATCCTGTTTAAAAAAAATGGGGGGGGGGGCTGGAGAGATGGCTCAGCAGTTAAGAGCACTGACTGCTCTTGCAGAGGACCCGGGTTCGATTCCCAGCACCCACGTGGCGGCTCTGAACCGTCCTTAACTCCAGTTCCAGGGGAATCCGAAGCCCTTTTCTGACCTCTGTGGCATTTCACGACACGGGTGCACTCACATACATGCAGGCAATACACATAAAATAAAAATAGTAAAATATTTTTTAAAAAAAGAAGTTCAAGGTTATCCTCAGCTACGTAGTGAGTTCAAGGCCAGCCTGGGCTGTACAAGACCCTGTCTCAAAAAAACTTTTTTAAGGAGCTGTAGACCAGGGACTGGAAGGATGACTCAGCAGTTAAGAGCACTAGCTGCTCTTACAGAGGACCCAGGTTCAGTTCCCAGCACCCACATGGTGGCTAACAAACGTCCATAATTCCAGTTCTAGGGGAATCCAATGCCTTCTTCTGACCTCTGTGGCATTGCACAATGTGGGTACACTTACATACATGCAGGCAATATACTCATACACACAAAGTAAAAATAAATAAAATTTTAAAAAAGAATTGAAGACCAGACCAGACTGTATATCAAGACCCTGGTCTCAAAAACAAATAAATAGGGACCAGTGAAATGGTTCCGCAGTTAAGAGCACTTGCTGCTCTTCTGAAGGACCCAAGGTCTGTTCCCAGCACACACATCAAGCAGCTCACAGCCACCTGTAACCCCAGGTCCAGGGAATTCAGCGTCCTCTTCCAGGCTCTGTGGGTACATGTATTTCTGCAGTGCACTACATACACACACACACATAAGTAAAATTTTAAAAAATGTGTCCTAAGTATCCTGGAATAGATCTTTTTTTTTTTGGTCTTTTTGAGACAGGGTCTCCCTGTAGCCCCAGCTGTCCTGGAACTCGCTATGTAGACCAGGCT